CTACCGGCTTATACGATGTAACATTTTCGAAGGCCAGCAATAGCAACAACAAACGTTGCATCTCATTTCCGTCTCACATAGCAGGATGTCTGGAAAAACATACTTTGCTAAACTATGTAACCATGGTGAACACATCGACGACAAGCATCTGGATCTTTTCGGCAGCGTGAGATGAGGGTCACCCCACATCGGCGAATTGCGAATAGTCAAGGCATGAAACATGAGCGGCACAAAATATCACAAAAACGTTTGATGCGGAGGAGTAACCATGTTGTGTTATATTCAGGCACGAACTAAAGAATAAATGCAGAAAAAATCCTTCGAGAAAAAGTCGGGTACGCGCGGACAAAACAGAGTGATGCGACGCGCTTGCGGACCACACCGTCCCACGCGGGTAGCGGAGCGTGACGCGCTTGCGAGTCGCGATGTCTTTTGTCGAATAAATGAGCGGGCTATTCAGCAGCATTTGTCTGCTGCTATGGATTCATAGAAGAAGTTGCGTTAATTTCTAAAAACAAAGAACAAGAAACAAAGAATAGAAACAAAAATAGAAACGAGGCCAAGTACGTTTGGCCAGAGGGTTTCAGGCCAATCAAATTGGAGAATAGGCAGAAAAGACAGAAAGTCGCGAAAAAATCAATACTTTCAAGCGAGATACAAAAATGGACATTACTTTAAGTAGAATCACAGGCAAAAAAATTCACAGGAAAAAAAAAAGATCAAATAAAATTTCATGGTGACCATGCATTGTCGAATACGATGCCGCTCTCCTCTTTGAGTTTTGACTAATTCTACTTTCAGAATTACAACAAAGGCATAAAAACAAACAAACAACTTGAACGCAAGTTCTGAAAAAGTGACACCTGTCATTTCACGCTTGCATGAGGACGAAACCTCGATCTGACCTAGGGTTGATCTCATCTATCAAAAGGTCGATATGCCTGCATATACGATAGTAGAGCGATGAAAAAATGAACCAAAATCGAAAATGATGGAAGATAATATTGAGAAAGACGTAACTCTCAAGATGAAAAAAAGAGTGTCTCGGGATTCTTCTCTACTGAAACGAATCGCCGTAAGTTCCCGAAGATACGAGTTGATATTTGTGCTAGAAAATCCTTAGTGCGGAGAACTCAGGTCACATAAGCGCAGCTTCAACTTATAATATAGCGTTGAGCCCAGCTGAGCTAAGATGAAACTGTGGTGGTGTGACCGGTACCACAACTGCCCAAGAACAAAAGGTGTGGGTCAGTTCTCGCGTAGGGTAATGTGTAGGTGGGTAACAGGTAAAATTCCCTAATTTTTCGGTAATTATTGCGAATTTAGGTGTCGGTGATTCATCCAGTTCACATCATAGTTCCATTACCGCTCGAAGATGATACAGAAGAACTCAAGAACCCCTTTGGACTTACCATTCTAAAGGTAAGCATGGGACATTGGACCCATTGACAGCGGCCAATTTGCTGTATTTGGGTTGTACCATCCAGTTGATTGTGATTTTTTGAGGTTTTTTATGCTGATTTTCAGGTTAGACCTGTTATTGATCTCGCGCTAGACGATGCCTATAGGAAATTTCAGTGAGTTCCTTCATTTCGAGGCAGTTTTTGATTATTCACCTCTGTAAATACCGTTGATCAACACTCTTATGGGTCTTATCCAGTAGGAGGGGGCATATGGTGCGACAGTCGCTGCTACCTACACAAATTCGGGTTGCCGACAGAAGGCCCGTCGCGCGGACAAGAAGGCGGAGTCAGCGGACGAGTCGCAGCGCGTACTGTAGTGATTTCGCGTCAAGATAGAATGTATGTACGTCCTACATCGCACATCACGCGCTGCGACTCGTCCGCTGTCCGCCTTCTTGCCGCGCGACGGGCCTCCTGTCGGGCACCCCAAAAATTCGATTTCTTGCCGCGGGAGGAAATTCATGGGGTGCGTGAACTATTATGCTCTGCTTCTGCAATCACCCTAGAGCTTCTTCCCTCGAGAAAAGTCACAATCCTTTTAAGACGATATGGCCTAACGCACCGTATTCTCCTCCCCCCTTACTGGATGTGACCTTTTTCCAATTTTGCCTACCTCTGAATGGGTTACTCGTGAATACAATATGTTATTGATCAGATATGTGCCACCGGATTCCATGGCTGTCACCTATCGAGACAGTCGACTCTCCGACGCGCACGGTCCCAACGTAGCTATTCAGCAATTGGTTAAGGTGAGACCATATATCTGCATCACTTACAACACTTTTACTATTTTTATTGTTAAATTATATGTATCAGTTTAGCTGGTCGTTTTTCGACTGGTAACTGCTGATTTTGGCCGCAGTTTGCCATGCGAAAGTTATTATAGGAATGCTGAGTTTTGATCGAAATACCGCCCTAGACGGGGTCCGTACCCGCACCTCACGCTAAAGTTGGTTACCTAGTAGCGTAATGATGAACGGCTACGTCGGCAGTTCGACGTTGAGTATTTCTACAAGCTTACACTTTCTGATGCACGCGCCTTTCGCAGCCCATTTGACGGCGCATGGTTCAGGAAATCGGGTGAAAATCCAGTTTGGGGGTAGCGCCTCTTGGTATCTTGCCCTTATGTTAGCCCTGAAGAGCATTCCCTAAGACCAAGGAGAAGACAATTTGTGACCCGTCCATTTGAAGTGCTTTTTTAAGGACCGGTGAATGTCCTACGCTCCACACCTCCTGCCCACACCCTGCACAATTTTCTGCACCAGGTCATGAACCTGCAGCTCCTCCACCCTTGAATCAGGGCGAAGCTCCTGGTTCCTCTGGTTCTAGACGTTTCCTTGGAACACTACAGGCCGAATTGTAGAAGCACCTCAGGAATACTTCTACACCACACCGGTACTTATCAGAAGCACGAGCCTTCTCATTCTTATCTTATGTAATGAAGAACACAACGGAGTGCCCCCCCCCCCTACTGAACTGTACTTTCACAAAAAAATTGTTGCTTACTTCAACTGGAAGTAGAGGTATGTAGTGAAGGATGCACTGGTCAAGGGAACCGCTAGAACACGGCGCATACACGCAAAATTCGACCCTTAGAACCCTTTCTCTGTTCGCTTTAAATGAGCCAGCATTTAATACGGGTTCTTTTGTACCTGCAAATCCTGGAAAGCAGTAAAATTCCAACAAATATCAAGCCTTCATTGATAATTCATCCATAAGAAACTCAAGGATACGGTCACTAAAGGAAATGCCCTTTTAAAATGAAGGACAAAATGTGACGGTAACAATATTAACATTCGAGCAGTCATTGCATGGGTCTTTCAGTTGGAGATGGGTGCCACCTCGATGGGTGGCGTTAAGGTTAAGGTTTCTTAGGTTGCGATGAGCGCGCCCTTCGCCGCGATACAAGCCTTTTCACATCCTTGTGGGCTCAGCTTCCCTTTCTATTGATCATATCAGTCCTTCTTCTTTACCTTCTTTATCCTGGCACCTGCCTTTAAGTCTATGATACTGGAACTTGTGGGACCTTGCTCGCCTTCTTGGAGTGATCCAGCCACGCGGTTTACTTGATAACTTGAAGTCCTGAACGAATTCCGACTTGAGCCGACTTGAATTGACTTCAGTAGAAAACACGACAAGTGAACCGATTATGCTGTTGACAGCAATGCCAACTAAAGGCCTAAACAGATTCACTTGAGTTCGATTCTACTTGAGTTGTCAAGTCGACTTCAATTGAGCTGATCGCGGTAAGGAACAAGATTACTTGAATATTTACTTGAGATATGACACAACGGATTGATGAGAAGATAGGGCTTGAGCCCAGCCGATGCCTGAGAGAATATCGATTGAGCGCGCTTGAGATTTGCCCTTTTTATAGCCGCCTCTACCTCGTCAGTTCACAATGTAGATCAAGCCTAGAATCGAATCCATCCGGTCGAAAGCTGAACGACTGGATTACTATAAAAGGATAGTTGATAGTTTTCACATAAAGAAACACAAAAAGGAAATAAGACAAGGTCGCATTCGCGACAATGATTTACTCTGTAGATTTCAGCGATTCCTGGGCGTTTGGTCGCATTCATCGTTGACTTCCCAGGCGCTGACGTGATGACAACAAAGTGTCAATTTGAATAAAATGATTAGGTCATCTTGGTCGCGAAAAAGTCGCGAATAAGTACAAACTATGCAAAGATTTACCAAAATTCCCACACAGAGTTTATTTCGACGGTCGTTACTCATGTTTTCCTCGTTCAGAATCGTTTGGATTGCATAATCGGGTACGCATTTGTTTACGCTCTCGCTCCAGTAGCTCGAATGTGTCCTTATTGGCAGGACGATGATAGCAATGGAAGTTTCGAAAGAATTTGGTCCTTAACGAAAATGGGAAAAATTAAAGCAAAAATCCCAGCAGGGGTTTACATTCGACACGTAATGGGTGCCGGAATTGATGCGCTCGACGGCCAAGAAATAAGAAGTGTGAATGCACTCTGAAGCTCACCTTGGGCGAAAGCGGCTTAGAAAGAGATTTTGAATGACTTCTAAAGTGGGCTGTGGTTGTGAATCGGCTGGAGGGGACTGAGCACGACGGCCCGTTCAAACTCATCGACCCCATTAGAAAGCCGTTTCAGATTCCTTTCTAGCGGCTTTCCAAGGTGAGCTTTTTGTTCAGTTACACTTCTTGTGTTCTTGACTACGGCGAGCGCATCATTCCACACCATTAGTGTCGAAGGTAAAAACCCTGGTGGGACTGTTGCTTTGAGTTGTCTTTCGAATGCGGGCTATTTCCAGGGCATTCCTGTGATTTCTCCCATTGGTTTGACAATGAACCTCGACGACAAAACAGAGTATCAAACATTAACCAGAATTAGTGGACCGTACAAGGTAAGTTTTTTTGGAACCGCGGTAAATTTTGTAAAGGTTTAACGTAGAAGCAGATTCAATCAAGACTAAAGCTCACGTTGATTGCAAAGCAGATCCCTTTTGCGGGTTTCTGGTTGGGTCTGCCTTAACTATCGCTACAGATTCACACGACTAAGAAAGCAGTGGAGAGGGGGTTGAACGAAAAATGAGACTAGAAGAGATCTGAGGGCAACAAACAAGCTTTAAAGCTGATTTCAGTGTTATCATCAGCTTAACAAAGTTATTAGGAAGCCTTTAAGATATGTAGCTTGTATCCAAATAAAATGTGCTGCATAAGTGGCGCTGCTTACCACGCGCACGTTCTGGGGATAAAATCCATAATTGTACGCCTTCCAGATCAAGAAAGCAGGATCACCCATCGCGGCCGTACTTTTCCAAGAATTCTACACCTTTTCTTCACGCTAGGGTCTCCATACAGCCCCCCCCCCACCTTACGATCACATCCATCAACCTTAAAGGGATCTACCCGCATGAACTGTCAAACAAGAAGATCTAACTTCTGTGATTTACTCTTCTTCATGCTACTTTCATGAAGTTTTCACCACAGTCGTCAAAAAAGCGTTGAAACGACCTCCTCCTCGCAACTAAGCCCCTTCTAGTTGTACAGGTACGATCCCCCGTTGGCACCTTCCCAATAGATGCTTAACGTCGATCAATCCCAAAAGCGACCTCCCTCCCAAAATCGCTGATGCGTTCCCCCGTTTTAATAGTTCGAACGGAGGGTTGACCCTTCACCAGACCTTCTCGGGTAATTGGTACTATATTGTTGGGGAGTATAAAAATACGGTCTTGCCCATCACTGGTCCCCTCGAGTCGTTATACAGACCACATCACATTCGAAATGCCACCAAATTTCTGAATGGAATATAATTCATGGCGCATCCTGGCTGATCAACGCCGAGTGGTTGTCCTTTCTCATAGTGTAACAGTTTTCTTCCTTCGGATTTTAGTCTGACGAGTTTTTGACGCCTTGCGCGAAAAAAAAAATACGGAACAAGTGTGAACTGCGCAAAATCGACAGGCTTCACCTCGCTAATCATACCTATTCCTCCATCCTGTTCTTCCCTCACCCTTCCCAGGGTCGGTTCGTACGACCCCCTTTCCATAACTACTTTTTCCCTCCAAAAACATTTCCTCCATTATGCTATCTATTTCACCTCCATTTTTCCATCGCTACATACATATTCTAAGGGGGAGGGGCTGGGGAGGCAGGGTCGGTCCTATCGTTGCTACTTTTCAAAAAGTTTTTACGACCCCCCTCCCTCATGAAATGTTTCATACGACCCCCTCTTTCAAAACAATTTTTACCCCAAAAAATTACCGTCGAGCGGGGGAGGGGGGATATAACCGCGAAAACCGTATGCACACGGCAAATCTTCTCCCGCGCGCACTCCCCACAGGGTCTGTCCTATCGTTGTTACTTTTCGAAAAATTTTACGACCCCCTCCCCCAACGTGGATTTGATACGACCCCCTTTTCCATACCTCCACCATCTCCATCTTCCATCAAAACCCCGCCCACTTTTTCCTCCAAAAATGCCGTCGAGCGGGGGGGGGGGTATATACAGTCACTCTGACGGCAAATTTTTTTCTTGTAATACTCCGAAAATTTTCTTACTAATTTCCACCATTTCAACCCATTTTTTACCTATACTCTCGCCCAGCCTACTACCCACGAAATATTTCAAGCGACCTAAAGGGGTACGACCCCCCTCCTACAAACTCAACCAAGTACGACCCCCCCCCCGTTGTTACTCGTAACAACGTAGGGTTGACCCTGTTCCCCGCTCATGCAACACCCAACTTATTACAACCGAAGCAAGTACGACCCCCCCTAACAAACTCATCAACATAATAGCTTACCCTGTTGGCTATTGTACACATAGGGTTGAACCCCTGGGGGGGGGGGGGTGGGTACCTTCAGTGCTTCAATTCTTCTCCTCAGCTATGGGTCTGAATTGCATCTGGCCTTGATTTTGATTAATTATGTGTTTGCTTCGGATGTACAGCAGTAACTTTATAAAATATGTAAAACATATACAATATGAGATGTTATAATAGGAATATGGTCGCATATGAAATGTCATAGTTGATGTAGAATGTTTAGGTAGTGGCTCAAAGTGTAGTGGCGCTTTTTCGATATCATAACTGGGCTCGGCATGTGTTTCTTTTTCATCATGTGAAAGGATCAGCGGCAGCCGTGGGCGAGTGCTTTCTTCTGATGGCTAGCATCCAAGTCCACAGTCAAGCAGGTATGCCATGACAATTTTTTTTCTTCCTTGAAAGTGGCCAAACAGTTGTGAACAAAAAGTTTTCATAGTAGTTTTGGCAGTGTATCTTGCGAACGTCGGAGGTCTTTTCTAGCACTTTGGGTCCATCGTCACGCTGCGACCCGATCTTGCGAACGATTTGTAATCCCATTCACGCTTCGGGAATGTTTGGTTCTACCCCCCCGTCCGCCACATGTGGAGAGGATTCCATAAATACCAACTTGCCCTCTCTATCTCACTCCTCGCCATCCATCTTAGTTCCCTACAGTGATTCTGATTGTGGACTAGCGGAAGAGCACTGGTCGGCTTCTCTGACTGCCGCCCATTTCCCCCCCTTAGACGTTGTCGAGAGGGTGGGTAGCGGTGTGACGGGGAGCGAGTGAAGAAGGTGAGTAATATTTCTGAAGAACTTTGAGCCTACATGTTATCTTCCAATTCTGTCTACATATTACTATAAGATTTTATTAAATTTATCAAAAAAGCCCGTCGAAAACCCTTCCATTCCTGGCAAACAATGACCCTTCTTGTTTTTTTTGGAAATATGCTCTTTCAATATTTTCCCACCTCCGCCGATTCGCAACTCTCATTGTGGCCTTACCCATAACAAAAAAAACCAATACGACCCCCCTTCTGGATCGGCCGGACCGATAGTTGACCCTGTTTGTCAGGTTTCGATCTAGTGCTCATAGTAAGGACCACCTGATGGAAATATAGGCCGATTTCAGACCTCGCGAATCGAGCGATTCGCTGGCCGCGACGCAACCGCGGCCGCTAGCTAATCTCTTAAGTCTGACCAGCGTCTATAAATTTTTATACGGAAACCAAGCAGGGTCAACCGTCCGTTGGACAAAGTCCAACGCATGGCTCTCTAGCGTGTGAGAGTAATGCCGAGAGTGAACGTACGCACGGAGACACAGACGGCTCGCGCAAGGCGAGTGCGAATGCCGGCGCGGAGAGCGGTCAACGTCGGTCCAACGTCGGTCCAATGTCGGTCCAACGTAACGGTTGACCCTGGTTTCAAAGCAATCGTGCGTCGTTTCCACGTCGTTCACAGGGGATTCTGATGCTGCCCTCTCCTTCTGAATGAACCCATTTGTTCCTGGATTTTGAAAGGAAACCTCACAAAACTCATCACACGCATAAAAGGAAGTCTATAGGATGACAAACCAATGTTATTCGAGCGCAACGTTTTAAGACGGCTCATCCACCAGCCTTGAATGACGTCTAAAATACTTGATGTAAATTAATGAGCCCAGATCAATTAACAGATCTATCGACTCTTAGGCCGATGTCAGACTTTGCGACGAGGATTCGCTTGCGTCAGCGGTTGCAACGCGGCCAGCGAATCGCTCTATTGGCTGGTACCGCAACGCGACCGCGGGCGCTAGCGAATTGCTTGATTCGCAAAATGTGACATCGGCCTTACTGCTACAAAATTTCAGATTATCAACATGGAGCATAATTTCTTCACTTTCAATCAAAACGAGCATGTCAATCGTAATTTATACAAGAACTACCTTATGCAGTCTAGTTTCTTAGAAAAAGGTGAGTTCATCGAATGTCCATTTTGTTGTCCTGATTACCGTTGTTCTCGAAAAAAGTCTTTTTTGCGAATGAAAATTTTTTATAAGCACATCTCAAAGAGCCAAAGCAGAGCAGCTTGATTATCGCTTGTCCTGGCCGTCAGGCGCTTATTATTGGCGCTTTTACATGCAAGCACTCCAAGCCAACAATTGCTTGCAGTGTACTGCAACCGTGAAAGCGTCACTTTTATTTGTTTACATTTTTAATTATTGTATTCACATCTATTATTTTATGCTATTTGTTTTACAATGCATCGTTACGAGCTGGAATACTCATTTGTCGTTTTTTAGCCTTTGGAATTTTTGGGACCGATTACCACGGGTTATCGATGTCTAGAGGGTTTTTTTTGTTTTGTACAGCTGTGTTGCTTATTATTTTTTCGGTTTCATTACAGTTCGTTTTTTGCCTCAGCTTCATCATCACATATTTAGTGCTCCTGATCTATATCCGTGGGCCTCGAGTCCTTGCCCATGTCACCCATTCAACACTACAATCAGCGCTAACGCTTAACAGTATCCGCTAAACGCTACAGATCCTGCCAACGGCTACAGTATGCGCATACACGTGAATAATATTGCATATTTTGAAAGGATCAATTGCTGAAATATGTCAGAGAGTTTCTAAAGTTCTGAAGTTACGTGGGGCTTCAGAACTGCCTAGCGACCTTGATCGAATAGGCGGGCCTAGTTGAACGAGTCCAGAAGCAACTTCAGCGAGCTTTTCCTAAAGAGTTGAGCACTTTGGTTGTTATGAATAGTCGGTGCGCAAAAGCCTACGTGAATTTGGCTTCTCAAGAAATTTCCATAAATCTGCTCGTCTCCTGGGCCCTATCGCAATATACGGGGGCATCATGGTGACAATCCTTTCAAAACCCGGCAAACCTGCCTTTGTTGTTGAAAACGGAACTGAGCCTCAGGTTGGGAACGAGAGGCTCGAGGCCGTGAGCGATGTTCATTTTGCTTGAAGCTCCCTGCCGCTCTCCTGGGCCTAGTTTCATAGGATGCCCCGTATGTTGCGATAGTGCCCGTCTCCAACTTGTTCCTGTTCAAAATAGGGGCGTTTTTTCACCATAGGCAAGAAAAACTAGGAAAAAATTGCTCAGCAAGGCACATCCAAGCCTCATTCATCAGGTAGTGGGGACCTCATTCAAAATGGATGCATACGTTTCCTTTCTAGGCCTCACTCACTTTTTCCTAAGTGAGAGGTGACAGATTTTATTTCCTGGACCGCAGCTGACTTGTCTTTCTTTCTTTCTTTTTTGATTTCAAGAATTCTGAATTTCTGATGATTGGACTTTTCACTCACGCCATTGCATGCTACAGTGTTACTCATTCATTTGTTTGTTTACTTGTTTACCTACTCACTTATTTGCTTATTTATTTGGTGTCGCCTAGGCCGTGCCATTACGAACACATTGCTTAGTAAGGATATGACCTGATTTCCTAGCTGTGTCGATATGTGCAGCCATTTTCGGCTCTGTCCGAATTCTCTCCTTCTGTCGAGCGTTTCGAGTAATAACGCTGGCTTTCTGCAGAGTCTCCTTTGATAGCTATTTGCCCTTTTGCCTCACCATCGACTCCCATTAGGCCGTCATTGCTGTCTGCGAGCTATTTTGGAATCGTGAAGTCGTAAGTAGTAAATTCTCCCTCAATGCTCATACAACCAAATGTCCTTGCATACATTTCACTGCAGAAATGTGAACGCTAGTTTGCACTTAATTATCTATCGCTGTGCACGCAGAAAAGCTGATTACAACTCGTATTTGGATACCGAGCAAAGAATATTCGCTCTGTAAATTGTCAAAAATTTGCCTTTTTTCTACTAACACCCCTCCTCCTAGGATAGCGCTCTTTGCAGAGGG